TTGACCATACCCAGGCTACATACCTACTGGTTGCGCCAACCTCGCTTCGGGACGATATTTTACATGCTTTTCACGACGAACAATCATCCGGACACGTTGACTACACGCGCACATTGGAAAGAATTCGTCGCTCATACTACTGGCCCCGCCTCGCGAAGACAGTCAAGCAGTACGTCCGCACATGCCGCGACTGCCAACGCCGTAAGACTCCACCTGTCCGACCAGCAAGACTACTACAGCCTATCGCCACGCCGAAGACACCATTCCATCAAATTGGCATTGACTTGCTCGGCTCATTTCCCACCTCTTCGTCTGGAAACCGGTGGATTGTGGTTGCCACCGATTATTTAACGCGTTACATCGAAACAAAGGCTCTGCCCAAAGCTACCGCAGCCGAAATCGCACAGTTTTTTGTCACCAGCATCGTACTTCGTCACGGAGCGCCAGCTGTGATAATTACTGATCGTGGTAAAGCTTTCATCGCAGAGATGCTTCAAGAAGTGATGAGACTAAGTGGTACAGAACATCAGAAAACCACGGGCTATCACCCCCAAACAAACGGACTCACTGAACGGTTGAACAAGACCATTGCAGATATGCTGTCAATGTATGTGGCCGTTGATCACAAGAACTGGGATGATTTACTCCCTTACGTAACTTTTGCTTAAAATACAGCAGTCCAAGAGAGTACAGGTTTCACCCCATTTCGCTTAGTTCATGGTCGAGAGGTCACTACAATGCTCGACGCAATGCTCCTTCCCAACAACTTAATTATGTTCAACGTGGACGCTGCATTGCTCGCTCAACGCGCCGAGGAAGCCCGTCAACTTGCCCGACGCCGTATTCAGGCTCGCCAAACTGCCGACACGCACCGCTACAACCTTACACACCGAGAGGTTACCTTCCAACCAGGCGATGAAGTTTGGGTGTGGACTCCCGTCCGACAGCGTGGTCACTCTGAAAAGTTGCTTCGGCGCTACTTCGGCCCTTACAAAGTTCTGCGCCGACTCAGTGACGTTACGTATGAAGTTCTCCCTGAGGGCACCTCAAGACGTTCCCGTCGGTTTCCACAAAGTGATGTGGTGCACGTGTCAAGGCTCAAGCCATATTTCTCGCGTCATCCATCGAACGTGGACTAACTTACCATGCAATGACTATTTTTTGTCACTTTCGTTTCTTTTTGATTGTCTTGTGTCCTAACTCCTTTCTTCATTGAGTACTTCTATGACACCATCCCATTTTTTTTCCTTACGGCGGAGTTGTTGGATTCTATGGTAGCATCTTTTCTTTCTCATTTTTTCTCAACGCTCATTCCAGCATCGAGCCGATGCTTTTCGAGGAGAGGGAATAATGTCACAGGTAATGGGTATGAGTCATCAACGGTAGGTGGAATACCTTGGAAGTGAAGAAAGAAGAGGGCTTTTGCTTCCTGGTCTGAGGACAAGCAAGACGCCGATTCGTCGCTGTCTGTTATTACGTTCGTGGCAATATATGTATATATTATACCAAGGTGTAATGGACGATCTGCATAAACTGCTCAATTGACTTCAGGAAAGCATCATTTTTTATCGGGGGGGGGGGGGAAGCGGTGGGAGCAGAAAGCTGCATCGCAACACCTATCATGGCGATTACGTTTCCTCAAAGAATCGGACACAATGACACTTGGTTCGTTTTCTTTAGTTATTCACTTATTTATTTGCATGAGTAAATGCCAAGGAAATAAAGCGAACAAACCCGCTGATGTAATTATCTGCCTAAGCAAGTGATGAAAGACTCATACAGAAGCAGTAGAGAAAACAATGTCGTTTGAAGGATACCATGATATGCGAAATATAGCTCTTACTACGATGAATAAATATAAAGCTCTCCACACCTCCACACCGCCTGTGGTATGAGAACAACCAATGCGATTAACGCAATCCGAAAGCACATAACCACCAATTACTCTCTTCCATGACCGTGATCAAGTGCGGCACAATGTGAAGCATGTGAAATAAACGCTGTAGTATACCAAGTGAAGCGTGTGTCTAACCTCATTAAGAAGCACCAACATGTAACCAATAATTGCGAAAGGCTTCAGTGCAGAGTCGAATTCGACCCACTGCTTAACACCGGGACCACATGATCCAGCTCTCGCCGGTTAACCATTTGTACGGAGTGCTTGGCCGATGATTTTTAGGGGCGAAACTCCTTATAGCGGCACCCGTTCGTCCCCCGTAGTATGTAACAAGTATAACATTTTGACCTCCAAGGTGGTGCCGGTGAGAGACTTCTGTGCGTTGTTGAACAATAAAAAATTGTGCTCAATGTACATGCCAATGGTTGTTAATGGGGAATGAGAGGCAGGAGCATTGGGCTTTTAGTTAACGTGCACGCTGCGATCCCCATTAGCAGCCATTGGCATGTACATTGAGCGCTATCTGACAAGAAAGGGTTGCTACGTTATACTCGCTGGGTGTAACCTCCTTAGCTTTAGAAAGGTTTAGCGAGCGTTGAGCCGCAGTGCCATGAATACAATGAACTTGTATATACCATGAATGAACTCGAGGTGGTTAAAAATGGGAAGTAGATACGAAGCGCAAGCCGTAAGAAAGTAAATGGCGAATTCTCCGCCTCTCATTTCCCATTAGCAGCCATTGGCATGTACATTGAGCACTATCTGACTGAAAAAGTTTGCTACGTCATACTCGCTGGGAGTAACCTCCTTGGTTTTCGAAAGGTTTAGCGAGTGTTCGGCCGCAGTGCCATGAATACAGTGAACTAGTATATACCATGAACTCGAGGTGGTTAAAGGTGGGAAGTGGACTCGAAGCGCAAGCCGTAAGGAAGTGTGCGTGTGCCACCTCTCGTTTAGTCCTTGGAATGTCCGCTGGATGGCAGTGCTTCTATATAGGGAATATATGATGAAAAGATGCGAGATGGTGGTACTTGGAGTGTTGAATAGATGGACGAACGGACACATAGACAGATGCATGGATGGACGCATGAACGGACGCAGGGGCGGCTGCATGGACGAACGCAGGGACGGACGCACGAACAGACGCACACACGGACGGGCTGATGGACGCACGGACGGTCACACTGACGGACGCATGGACGTACGGAAGCAAAAACGAATGGACGGACGAATTCTTCGCCCCACTCTCCATCATTCACTCCGTGGATATGCTGCCATTTTTTTCTTGCTCCTGTCGCTTGCTGAAGCTCATACAGATTCGTACTACAACCTTGAGGAAACCCAGGTGGTGCGGTCGTTTAACTATGGTGGGAATGAGGGGAAGTTCACAGTTAGGATCGAATCGCGTTAGTTAGCGAACTGCCTACGGTTGTTCTCGGTTTCGATTCGGTTCTGGGCGCAGCAGCTTCACCCGGCCTACAGTGTTCACAAGCGGGCGTGTATGTGTGTGTCGGGGAGCGGCGCAAGGAACGGTATCTTCTTGAAAGCGGCGGGAGCATGCTAGCTTTCCTGATTTAGGCAATGTTGCATATTTACGGTTGGTATTTGATAGTTTAGGCAAAGTGTCGTTCACGTATATCGATCCCCATTATTACATAATCCGAAGTTTACCTAGGGAAGTGCATGGATTTCACTTTATTGTCTGTGTAACTACGTCTTCCCTAGGCGCACTGAACGTGGCTGCAAAATGACGAGGAAGCTGCGTGAACGCCCCTCAATGATCTGCTGAACATCCCGGCGTCCATAGATTTCATCTGCTCTGCACTGAATGGTCTTTGCAGCGGAGTATAGAGATACGTTGAATACGGACCAATTCTTTCGCGATCTTTCGGCGCATGAGCACACTTGTCCGCCATGGGTATAAACAAATTGTTTATTATTTACTGTTCTATATAGTGTTTTTATTTCCATAAATTGATTATGCATATTGCGAGTTCCAAACGAGATCCACCCGAGGTACGATGCTTCTACTTTCACTTACTCTCATTTTGGTTTGAGATTCTGGTGTTTAGCCTGTTGGCATATAGTTTGTAATCTAGGAACCCACCGTTCATAAGACACATACACAAGAAGACAAATAAGACAAGCCCACACGCTGGGGCTTGTGGTCGTCATGTGTTTTTTCGAGGCTGGGTTTCTGTACTCCAAGCCATGGTGGTCGAAGCGCTGCTCATTCAGCTTCACGTGCCCCGCGTAGACATTTCAAAAAATTAATTTAATTAATTAATTAACACATGCACACACACGCACACAGGTATCAAACAAGCGCTCTCTCTCTCTCTCTGTGTGTGTGTGTGTGTGTGTGTGTGTGTGTGCGTGTGTGTGCGTGCGTGCGTGCGTGTGTGCGTGTGTGTGTGTGTGTGTGTGTGTGTGTGTGTGTGTGTGTGTGTGTGTGTGTGTGTGTGTGTGTGTGTGTGTGTGTGTGTGTGTGTGTGTGTGTGTGTGTGTGTGTGTGTGCATGTTTCATAAAAACCTAGATTCCACTCTAGGTTTTTGGGTATGAAATTTTACGCTGAAACTGTGGCCTTCTCAATCGCCATCAGCAGTACGCTTGCCGATCACCGAAGAGGAAAACACTCGCTAATTGTTTGTCGTTTTCGTAAAAGCAGGGACGAAGACCGGTGTGGGTTAGAGCCCTCAGTATTATACTGCGTTGTGCGTGCGGGCGCATTCGCCGTATGTATGTATATATATATATATATATATATATATATATATATATATATATATATATATATATATATATATATATATATATATATATATATATATATATATATATATATATATATATATATACATATATATAAAGGACAAATTGTGGCACGCCGGCGCCGCGCCACTTTTAGGGCACGGCGGCGGCGTCCCACCTTAAATACTTCGATTTCGGCGGCGGCGCAAGAGGCGCGCGGAAACAAAACGGCGCAGAGCTCTAGCATAGGACTACGCCACCAGCCCCACCGGCGCATTGCGTTTGTGTTGTTGTTCTAATACGTTTCCTAGAGAATAGAGTGTGCTAATTTATATGTGGTACCGTGACCAGGGGACGAAAAGCATCTGTCCGTGTACGTGGATGTCGGCGATTCGTCTGCTGTGAAGGCGCTGTTTACCATCATCAAATGCACAAACGAAGAACTGCCCCTAAGCGCCGTCGTCAACTGCGCCGGGATTACTGGTTTCGCGCCAATCACAGACTGCAGCGATGAAGTGTTCGACGACATCATCAGGGTCAACCTCAAGGCGAGAGACGATCACTGTGTTTTAATAAGAGACTTTAAGGGCGAATTTATCACAAAAAGGGAAAAAATTATACATTCGTAGGCTGGGACTCAGCGTTTAGTTTCGTTTACAGAAGCAGTTGCTGCACTCCAAATCATCCTCTTGCACTTCTCTTTTCGTTATTTTAGCTTTATCGAAAGGCGAATTCTGGAAAATTCCTTTCATCAAAATATCCTTTTTTTTTCTTCCCTATACCGAGAGCATAGTTAGCACGTTCATTTTATTTTTTTTCTTACGTAGTGCTCAAATATGCATTAGATAACAGGTGACGTTAAATAGCCAATAAGCCAACCTTATGTCTACTTTGATAACTATGTCATCCCCGCATTACTATGAAAGGCACTATCCACCAAGGCTTCCGTAGCTTTGAAGGCATGTGCGTTATTTAAACGGACACCAAACAGAAAAGCGATTTTACTCGTGTTGGTAAATTACTCTATCGACATATCGAAAATATCTCGCTTGCTGCTAGAAGACGCTTGGTAAGCGAGAAAACATTATGGTGGCGACGCCATATTGAAGTTTCTGCACCGGTTGCAGTGACGGCATAGATTTTGACGGTGTCTAGTAGGACTTACGAAGTTCCTAACCATTAATTGACTATTGAAGGAGCCAGAGACTTCAGATAGCAGATTCCAGAAACGTTTGTTGAGCTGATAAAGAAATAAATAAAAACTCGTTGAACTCAATGACGACGCTATCGGATATTTCGGCGCGAAATTTAAAATTAAGACTTTCGACCAATTTTCTCAATTAATCATAAACCTGTGGTGGGTTAAATTAACTATAGTTTTCATAATATTTGTCAGTGAAGTGTAATGTACTGTTTTGCTTTAGTGCCCCATTATGAAAATAATGGGGTGGGCGAATGCTTGAAGATTTCAAACAACGCATCGGATCTCGAATTTAATATTGCATGTTTCATATGTGGAATATTTTTCAAACAAGCCACACCGACCAGGATACTCCAAAGGGACAACACGTTGGAATAGCAAAGCGCAGTTTTACCTGTTTTATTTAGTGAATATCCCTGATGCTTCCGGTTTTAGAGTTTACCGTACTACTGAAGCTTTCATCATCATTAAATGAAGTAATTTCCGGTTTAAAATTCAGTGTCACCAAAGATATGAAACCGTTCTTAAATTACAGGTCCTAGTACTATTTAAAAGCATGCGACGAAGTACCACCTCGAATACTGAATTAGCTGCTGTTTTTCTCCTACAGTTAATAAAAAAATACTCGAATACTCTACTTGATACTGTATACGAGTTCACATCAGTTTGCGTAACTGCATGTGGTATCTTTGGTCGACGAAATGTAACAGTACTGCCGTCTATGACAGTGTTACTGTCTATAAACAAGTGTATGGTATAAAATGAAAATTCTAGGCCTGTCTCTAAAGTGGTTGTCCTACCATTCGAAAACTATTCGATAATTATTCGATTTGGTATGATCACAGTTTTATCTGTATTTGATTTGGTCCTAAGCTTCACTGTTCGCACACCCCCTAGAAAATAACTATTGCTAATATTCTTAGTTTTAGTAGTCGTATGACAACTATTTAATAGCAATCAGGAAACATAGCACTTTTTTATTTGTACCTTAAATATTCAGTTTTCTTATTTGTCAGCTACGCGCGTAACGGTAACATCATGTTGTATTAGACATCTGCAAGTCTGTCTCCACGGCTTGATATATATACCACTTGCGTGCTTTTCTTATACGTTGTAGATGCATGTGTCTATGCAGGGCACTTTCCTGGTGATTCGGGAGGCTAGCCGCTACATTCTTCAGTCGGGTCAGCCGATGCCCGAAGGAGGTGCAGCCATCGTAAACGTCGCGAGCATCTTCGGCAAGAGTGGCCAAGAAAACGCGGCGGCGTACTGCGCTTCCAAGGGCGGCGTCGTGGCGCTGACCAAGTCGGCAGCGCAGGAGCTGGCTCCCCACGGCATTCGCTGCAACGCCGTGCTTCCGGGCTGGACTGAGACACCGATGACTGTCACTGCACCTGGAGACATGAGAGCCGAGGCGATTGCTTCGACGCCACTTAAGAGAACGGCTCAGCCACGCGAGATCGCGGAAGCCATCAAATTCCTGTGCTTGCCAAACGCGAGCTCTTTCGTCACGGGTGCCGCGCTCGAAGTCACAGGAGGCTGGCGCATGTGATCGTCCATTTGGTGCTTCTGCGTTTATCGCGCGGTTTCAGTCACCGGGATCGTTTTCTGAACCTGAAGAGATTCGCACTGACCATGAAATACCAGGAACATATAATATGGCCTGGTATGTGCCAAGTTTCCAGTGTTCTATGAAGCTATTGTTTGGATGAGTGTTGGATCAGTGTTGTGTGTGAGCGGCAGACTATGGATAATTACTTCTGTAGATGAAAACGTTGGTGAATGCTATGATTTGCAAAGGCTGACGAGCACATCTGTAAGAAATACGTTATAATTGAGACGCATACAGATTTTAAAAATAAATCATTTGAAGAAACACAGAAACGTGATGAGCGAAACTCCTCAGAAGCACTAGCCTATGATTGAAACACGTCTGTAAAGCAGGTTGTCCATGCAGTAAAGATCTTTCCCGAGTAAAGGGAATATCGTCCAGCTCACAGTACATTAGCCGAGAAAGCAACACGAGCCCTTCTACAGTTCTTGAGGGCAACATCACTGAGCATTCACCTGTGAAACCCTGCACTGTGGGTGGAGTGCAATATGTATCTCCTTCTTCTTTCTCTCTCTTACTCTCTTAATCCGCTTTCTCTGCGTGTAGGGTAGTAAAATGGGCCTAGTCTATAGCTAACCTTCCTACCTTTCTTGTATTACACTCTTTATTAAGCAGGCTGACACAGTAGGCTGAAACGAAGTGTGGTCCTCCGCAATGCGAACATGCTGCAATAGCAGAATACATAACCCATGACCTTCGGTACGTTAAATGTACAGAAAAAGTGTGATAATCACGTCTACCTATTTTGTGTTGAGGTGTTTTGAATAGGAAACGTGCATAACCATGAATGCGGTGAAAAATGTACGTTCTAGATGTCATGTCCTCGTCACACTACGCGGAACATACACATTGGGTCGTAATTACCGGTGCGAAGAGCTGCTTGTCCGAATCAGTCGATAGAACCCAGACAATGTCCAAAAAATTAAGACAAGATGTCCTTAGCTATACCTTTATTTATTTATTTATTTAACAATACTGTCAATCCCGTCAGGGATTTTTACAGGAGTGGGTTGGAAAGGGTCAACAAACATTCTATGTTCACATACTTATACAATTGTAAGGGTACAAAAAATCATGGTATAAAATGATAACAATTATGGACCTACATTATTAACGAGGCACATGTCTCAGTCACATGTGCACACACTGAAAAAAAAACACGAAAAAGAAAGAAAAAGGTAAGCACGCAACATACAACGTGGGTACCGACTTCCACCTTTTTAGACCACAAAATGTACTGGCAGGGAGGACAATGATCAGTACAATCCTGATAGTGTCGCTATCATGTAGCTGATAAGACGGCTTGGCCAGCAAGTTCGTAAAATTTGTCGGCAGTGGGCTCCACGACCACCGTCTCGGGTAAAGCATTCCACTCTCGCACTGCCCGCGGGAAAAACGAAGAAGTAAAAGTATCGTTGGTGCATAAATATTCTTGCAGTGTAAGGTGATGCTTGTGAGGGGTTTCTCTAGAAGTTTTGAAAGAAATGTAGGTGTTCGAATCTACTTTAAGTTTGTTGTGTAGGATTAGGTACATAAATTTGAGTCGGGATAGCATCGCACGACTGGCTAGCGTGTGAAGGCCAATATCTGTCAGCATTTGCGTAGGCGAGTCGGTGCGCCTATATCTGTTACAGATAAAACGCGTGGCTTTGCGCTGGATGGCCTCAATAGTGGCTATGTGTTTTTGGGTAGACGGGAACCATGCAACGCTCGCATATTCTAAGATAAGGCGTATAATCGTCGCCTAGGCCAAGAACTTGGCTTCTCTTGTCGAGTATCGCAAGACCCGCTTTAAAAACATTAGCTTCCGCATCGCTTTGCCAGTCGCGTGATCTACATGCGCCGACCATCCGAGATCTGACGATATGACGACGCCCAAGTACTTGCACTGAGTGACTGTTTTAAGGATGATGCTATCATAGCCATACGAGAAAGTAAGTTTGGATTTCTTTTTTGTTACTTAATTGACATAACGGCGCTAGCAGTTTTAACTTCATCGGATGACAACTTGTGTGGAATGTACGGTTTCAGTAAGCATTGAGAAAAATTTAATCAAACTTAGAAATTTTGCGAACGCGAATAATCTGTTATAGGACCTGACTATTGACCACCATCCACTTTTATTGAGCCCTCACAGCACATGTCTTACTCCTGCGAGATCCAGCCAGGCTATACTTATGACGTGTGCTGACGTGGCGGCACTATCGAGGCCGAGAAAGAGCTATGCGAGCAGCGCTGAAAGGAGAGGAAAGCTAAAACCCTTAAGAGGAGCTTTAGCGCTAACTTTCTAGTTTCAGCAAAGAGAAACGTATAAAGAGTGGACACTCCCGCAGAGCCCTGCGGCTGAGCTACTGCGCTACTTTCATTGCCACAAGTGGCTGGTCACACCCGTTAATGTCTTCAGCATGAATAAAATAACAAAAAGCTTTCCTTTCCGATGCTGGAATCTGAACCCGTAACCTGACGCTCCGAAGAAGGAGTGTCTTTACCACTAGGCTACACACTCACGCTTCCACGAAGAGAATACGTGTGCAGTACATCTAAACCACATAAATATGCACCCTTTATTCAAAACAAATGCAGAAGGGCAACACTTTCTTGTCAGCCTTTACTAATTTTTATGATAAAGCATTAAACGTCCTCAGTGGGACACGTTGTAGAGCGGATATGGAAAATTGCACAAATCAATAAGTTTATTTTTTGCAGCAAGTTGATGCTAAACTTGGGTTTTTAATTACCTCCTGAGGGGGCTATTGCACGCCTCGACAAAAGAGTAGAGGCCAGCATGGCTACGCCATGCAGCAATTGGTCAGTCCCTTTCTTGCTCGGCCACGAAAAGGCGCGACTGGCCACTCTTTACATAGTATATTTCTCTGTGGTTTCGGGGCTTTGAAGGGACCCTGCTATGCCTTTTTCAAGCAGCCACAGAATGGATGCCTAAAACAGCTTACTTCACACGAATTCACAACCGCGAAAATCTTTAGAATCTTTCCACTACGGACGGAGTTAAAGATTTGTTGCACGCTGCATTTGTCTTGTCTCTTCTCTTGCCCCGACGAAAGTGCCTGAAGCTAAGCAGGGAGGGCTAGCACGGGGAAAGAACATGCGTCACGCGCGTCACAAGAACTTCGGCTTTTTTTCTCTCTCCTTTTTTTCTTCAAGTACGCGGCTTTTCAGGGCGATCACACGCGCACGCGTGGACAAAGCAGGGTTTTCCATAGCGGCCGCAGTAACGAATGAGCACGCCATGCTTATATTGGCCAATGGCTTAAGGCCCATTCGTTTCACCTGCATTTCGTGAACCGGTTGTCGGAGGCGCTGCACTTCGGCATTCGTTTCACGAGTCCAACATGACGATAGCGGCACCACACTATTCGTTTCAAAAAAAGTTTAGCTGTCGCGCAAGGCTATAGTTCACGAATTCCCTGGATCTGCTCGAGAGGTAGGGCCGAGTCCGTGCCAGCACAAGATGGCTGCAGCTGTACCAGACGACGTAGCCGATTGCATCAGTGTCTGCTTTAGCGACGTGCAACAAGTACGACAGTGAACATTTTCCGGTAGAGACATCACAAGCAACGTAAGCGGCGCCGTCTTTTATGAATCACAGCTTCCACAAACCTCGAGACAGCCGGCGAGTACAGCACAGGGCTCGCGCAACATCTGCACTCTCGTATTTGTTTGCGCGTCTCGTCACTGCTGCACTTGCTGAAACATCGCCTGCACGAACACAACACTCGGACGGCATCACCGTGAACTAGTTCTGGAGAGAGAGAGAGAGAGAGAGAAATTTAATGCGGAAAGGCAGGGAGGTTAACCAGAAAACATATCCGGTTTGCTACCCTGCACTGGGGAAGGGGTAAAGGGGAAAGGGAGGAAGAGAAGCACAAACACACACACACACTCGCACACAGTAGTGTCACAATCGTTCAACGAGGTGGGTCGCTCGCAGAAACTTCATCAGCGCCTTCGTTGCTTTCTGGCGTGAGGCTCGATCTTTCCGACATTCCAAGATTGACTGCTCAGAAAATGGCTGGTCGTCGAGGCGAGCAAACACTGCTGAGAGGGACTGTCGCTGAGAGCTGTACTGGGGGCACTGACATAAAATATGTTCAATTGTTTCGTCATTGTCGCAATGGTCGCATGTAGCGCTGTCTCTCATTCCGATGCGGCAGGCAAAAGCGTTCGTGAAAGACACCCCAAGCCACATACGGCAGAGAAGGGTCGTCTCGGATCGGGGTAGGCCAGATGGAATAGTAAGTCGTAGGCATGGGTCCAGGCGGTGAAGACGGGTGTGGAGAAAACCGGGCGTATTCCGCATAGACCTTGCGACATCCTGCGCAAGCGTATTAATCTTTGCTGCTGCGTCGCTTCTTGATAGTGGAATAGGTTCCATCACTCCATTTTCGTGAGCATTCTTAGCTGCATTGTCGGCATGTTCGTTACCGATGATGCCGCAATGGCCTGGTAACCACTGAAAAGATATGTCATGTCCTTCGTCTATTAGGTGATGGTACAGTTGTCGTATTTCGAGCGCCAATTGGTCTTGAGGTCCACGACGTAGAGCATTGTGTAGACATTGGAGAGCTGGTTTCGAATCAGTAAAAATGCTCCATTTTTGTGGTGTCCTCTTGGTCAATCCTGCGGAGTGCGCTGCGGAGTGCCGCGAGCTCCACGGCTGTCGATGTCGTCTTGTGTGACGTTCTGAACTGGATGGTTTCGGCTCTTGCTGGGAAGATCACAGCTCCTGCAGATCCTCCAACAGTTGTCGAGCCATCCGTGTAAAGTTTGACATGATCTTTGTATTCTTCGTGTAGCATGAGTAGAATCATCTGCTTTAAGCTGGCGCCGAGAGCTCCGCCTTCTTGCGAATCCCCGGCACTGTCAAGCGCAGTTTGGTCGGTCCAAGCACCAAGGAGGTGTTAGTATCCGTTCCGGAGGCGTGTAGACTGTTGGAAGGCACTCACGGAAAGTCAATACTCTCTTACAGAAGGAGGCACTCGGTCGATCTTCTGGAAGCGAAGCTAGGTGGTGGGCAGGGGCGCGAGCAAGGTGTCTAATATGAGCTCTAAGCACCTCCAAAGTAATATGCACTGTGGCCGGATGATCTTTGGCGATTGCGATGGTTTCCGCTGTTGATGTACAGCGTGGTAATCCAAGACAAACTCTGAGTGCCTGGCCCTGGGCGTTTTCTATTGTGCGTATACTGCTTTTGCAAGCGTTCGTCAGAACCGGCAAGCTATACCGCAGGTACCCCAGAAACAGCGTTTTGTAC